AGTCTTTTCACTGCCCGGCTCACGATTCTCACTCCCTCAATACACCTCCGTGCTCCGCTGCTTTGAGAACAAATACCTAAAGTTTTAAGAGCAAAGACAGCCTGAAACATACTCACGTCGGAGCGAGTATGTTTCAGGCTTACTCCTGTTCTCAGATTGAAAGATATGCTTTTGATTGAAGTCAGAATAATTCTTCCATACACTCYGCTCCCTTTCACCTGAGAATGGGAGGGGCCAGCGCCGTCCAACTTTAATGATGTGTACCCTACAGAGCTTCAGCATGGTAGGTGTGCTGCAGTAAGCAGCTCCACTGCCATTCATTATAAGCTTTGCTTACAGAGACTTTATTCAATGCCATGACAAGAGACTGGCAAAATGCAGTGTGTGGAGTCCAAATCCAAAATTTGTTTTTTGCGATGACTTGTGCAGCCCTTTTACTTTAACGATTCTGGTTCATCGTCTTCACAGACTTGTTTTATGCATTTAAAAATATATTTTCTGGTATTTTATTGTAAAATCTGCAGCAGACTTGTTGGATTTGTTCTTTGTCAAAGAAAAAACATAATTACAGTATGCTTTTTGTAAGATTACAAGTGCAAAATACAGTTACCAATACTCTAAATGCTTGATTGTTGTTATTTCAACCTTAACCTTATCTGTATTTTTAAAACAGTATTATGTTTTAATATTTTATTAAAATATAGTATTATAGAATATAATCTAGTATAGTTAGAATACATTTGATCAAACTGCCAGTTAAGTAATACATGCAACTAGACTTGGACTTGAGTTCAAGAGACTTGAGACTTTACTTGGATTTTTGATCAAAGACTTGAGACTTGACTTGGACTTGCAAAAAAAAAAAAGACTTGCGCACATCTCTTCTTGAAACAAACTGGACAAACGTGCAGTTTCCAGTTTTGAATTGTAAAAAAATCATACATTTTCCCCAGGCGTCTCAGATAGCCAATGATACAGGTGACAGAGCAGCATCCTACCACCTAGCCAGACATTATGAGGGTCACGATGATGTCAAGCAAGCAGTTCACTTCTACACGCGAGCCCAGGCCTATAACAACGCAATACGACTTTGTAAGGTAAAGTATTCTGTCAGTTTTTGTCAACATGCCAACATGCAGTTTCTCACTTTGGTTTARTTTAGTATTTTGCTGAGCAGTTTGGTTGGTTCTGTGTTCAACCAGGAAAACGGTCTTGATGACCAGCTGATGAACCTGGCTCTGCTCAGTAACCCGGAGGACATGATGGAAGCTGCCTGTTACTACGAGGAGAAAGGCACACACATGGACCGAGCTGTCACCCTTTATCACAAGGTTGGTTGTAGCTGTCCGGCTTTCAGCTTTCCACAAGGGGGCAGCATTGCAACATATATTCAAACTGAGGAAAGCTGAAACTACAAAAAGCCCAGCTTCATCAGAGTGTTTATTTTAATTTTGTTTTGTAGGCTGGTTATGTCTCCAAAGCTCTGGAGCTGGCCTTTGCCACTGAGCAGTTTGCTGCTCTCAAGCTCATTGCAGAGGATCTCAATGAAAACTGCGACCCTGCTCTCCTTGCTCGCTGCTCCGAATTCTTCATCAATCATTCACAGTATGAGAAGGCAGTGGAGTTACTGGTTGCAGCTAAGAAGGTACCAATTATTGTGTGATTAATTTTTACCCACCTATCTATGGCTCAGTTCATGACTCATTACTTACAGTACATGGGGTGTCTGTTTGCTCAGTACCATCAGGCCCTGCAGCTGTGTTTGGACCAAAACCTGACAATCACTGAGGATTTGGCCGAGAGAATGACGGTGACTGACTCCAAGGACTTGTCTGAGGAGGCCCGCAAGGAACTGCTGGAGAAGATCGCTGATTGTTGCATGYGTCAGGGCAACTACCACCTGGCCACAAAGAAATACACACAGGCCGGCAGCAAACGCAAGGTGGGATGCTGTGCGTCGTAAACGCTGTGTGGGGTATTTCAAAACATATTTGGTAACATTTGACTTGGTGAAAGAATCTGGTCTGCATGTACAAAATTACATTTTAAATCCAAAAAACATGCTCATAGTACATTAGCATGTACACTCTCTTTAATCTGATTAGATTCTACAACCATAAATGCAATTTTTGTTTTGTTTGTTTCAGGCTATGAGGGCACTCCTCAAGTCAGGTGACACGGAGAAAATAGTTTTCTTTGCCAACGTTTCTCGTCAGAAAGAACTTTTCATCATGGCCGCCAATTATCTCCAGTCTCTGGATTGGCGTAAAAACCCGGACATCTTAAAGACCATCATTGGTTTCTACACGAAGGGCAAAGCCCCGGACCTGCTTGCTGGCTTCTATGAAGTCTGTGCTCAGGTAGAACAACACAGTTATTATTGTGTTGTTTGTCTGTTGTGTGTTTGTTTAGCCTGTGCCTAAATAAAAGTGTTTTTTGGCGACTTGGTTGTAGGTAGAAATAGATGAATACCAAGATTATGAAAAGGCTCTCGATGCACTCATGGAGGCTTTCAAGAGTCTGTCGAAAGCGAAGGACACTTCAGGTGGACAACAGGAAGTGAGACTCGCTGACCTTCAGCATAAAATCAGCCTCATCAAGAAGTTTGTCCACATCCGCAGGTAAGATTAATGAATCAAAGGTAATAAGTTGCTTCTCGACACGTTTATTTATTTTTTATTTTTGGTTGGTTTAGGTTGTATTCTGACAATACGGATGAGGCGGTGCGGTTATGTGAAGCTCTCCTGGAAGAACCAGACTTGGATCCTGCAGTCAGGATTGGAGACGCGTTTGGTTTCATTGTGGAGCACCACTGTCAGCAAGGGAACTACCAGATGGTGACTGAGATTTCTTATAATTATCATTTAAAATTGCCTTGTTTGGTTTTGAAGGAAAAGTTTCAGTTTGGTCACTTTTTGCTTATTTTCTTTCAAAGTAAATGTGTTGTCGATGTTTTTTTTTTCCCCCCAGGCCTATCAGAAGTTAGAGGAACTCCAGAAGCTGCTGCCATCACAGAACGTCGGGTATTACATCAGCCAGGCCAGCCTGGACGCCCTGCAGAAAGAGATGGGTTTACCTCTGGGACGTGTTGACCACAGACACAGCCCGAAGGAGGACGACGAAGTGGAGGAGGACTTAAATGTGTCTTAGCTGCATCTGTTTTTACATTTTTTTACTATGTATAAAGTCTTTAAAAGTCATTTTTCAGACCGATGAAAGACTGTGCATTTTGTATTAAATAGTGACAAATAMTGTAAATMAAAAGCTCTTAACTCTCACACMAATACTGTAAATATTAAAGTTTAAAAGCTCTTAACTCTCACACAAATACTGTAAATATTAGAGTTAAAAAGCTCAACTCTCACACAAATACTGTAAATATTAAGAGTTAAAAAGCTCAACTCACACAAATACTGTAAATATTAGAGTTAAAAAGCTCTTAACTCTCACACAAATACTGTAAATATTAGAGTTAAAAAGCTCTTAACTCTCACACAAATACTGTAAATATTAGAGTTAAAAAGCTCTTAACTCTCACACAAATACTGTAAATGAGTTAAAAAGCTCTTAACACACAAATACTGTGAATATTAGAGTTAAAAAGCTCAACTCTCACACAAATACTGTGAATATTAAAGTTTAAAAGCTCTTAACTCTCACACAAATACTGTGAATATTAAAGTTTAAAAGCTCTTAACTCTCACACAAATACTGTGAATATTAGAGTTAAAAAGCTCAACTCTCACACAAATACTGTAAACATTAGAGTTTAAAAGCTCTTAACACTCTCACAAATACTGTAAATGAGTTTAAAAGCTCTTAACTCTCACACAAATACTGTAAATGAGTTTAAAAGCTCTTAACTCTCACACAAATACTGTAAATGAGTTTAAAAGCTCTTAACACTCACACAAATACTGTAAATGAGTTTAAAAGCTCTTAACTCTCACACAAATACTGTAAATGAGTTTAAAAGCTCTTAACACTCACACAAATACTGTAAATGAGTTTA